ACAGATTGGCGGTTGCTTGAGGGGAGTGATGGGGGGATGGGTGAGATAGGTGAAGGGGATTAAAAGGCACAAACTTCCAGCTATAAGTCACAGGGATGAAAAGTGCAGCACACGGAATATTGTCAATAATATTGCCATAACTTTGCATGGTGACAGATGGTAACAACAAGTATCAAGATACACATTTTTAAAAAATTTTTTAGTGTTTATTTATTTTTGACAGAGAGAGAGAGACAGAGCATGAGCGGGGGAGGGAGAGAGAGAGACACACAGAATCTGAAGCAGGCTGTCAGCCCAGAGCCGGATGAGGGGCTTGAACTCACCGACTGTGAGATCATGACCTGAGCCAAGGTCAGACGCTCAACCGACTGAGCCACCCAGGTGCCCCTAAACATTTCTTAATGTACATAAATGTTGAGTCAATATGTTGTACTCCTGAAACTAATATAATATTGTATGTCGACTACACTTCAACTAAAAAAAGAGATGAGGCCACGTTTGATCAATTTCATGCCTTATTCCATATGGTGGGTATTTCTCCAGTGATCAGAACATTCATGTGTGTTTATATAATTTGTGTCTTTAGTGGACAATACTGGATAAACACTACCTGATTATTTTACCTTGGTTCTCTTTTTCTAGGTTCTAGAGACCATCTTCCTTCTGTAACACGATTAAGTTACACTTTGTTTCTCAGTCACATCTCTTCCTTAGACAATATTCTTGACTAGATGAAGATGTCTTGCAAGGTATTTACAGGGTACTTATTGGGCCAGGTAGCTTACATCAACAACTGGACTGGTATATGTACCAGTTTTTCCCTCTCAAGGGAAACCTGATTTCCAAGTTATGGGACAAATGGACAAATCAGTGTAACATGCGTTTGTGTTCATAGCCTTTGTTTATTTGGATTTTCTCTAATAAATATGAAGGCACTCTTCATATATTTTCAGTATTAACTATATTGAACACCACATTTGAGGGATATATCCCCTATGCTGTTACTTTTACTTCCGTTGTGGTTTCTTCCATTATGTTAAAGCTAAAACAATTATCATAACTTCACGTATCAGACACATTTTCAAAATGTAACCTAGTTAAGCACTTAACACTTTGCATCCTGGCTCCACGACTTATTGCCTGTGCATGTTATTTAACTCCCTGGGCTCCTTCCTATCTACAAGGGTAATAACAGCAATTGCTTTTTAAAGATTAAATCACCCATTTTTAAGGGCTTAGCTCAATGACCAACACATAAAAAGCGCTCAGTATATACAGCTTTTCGCCCAGCACCCAAACGTCTAAATACACTGTACGCTATGTTTTAACCATGCTCCGGAAAATTAGAGAATTTCTATGGAGAGTCTTGCTTTCTTCAAAGCTGTTTGAATCCCAGCACCACGTAGCAGCAGCGCTCATAGTCTAATCCCACCCGGGACTACAAAACCCCTTCGCACCCGCTCCCAGGGTCCCGGGGGCGGGGCGTCCCGGCTG